TTCCTGAACGCAGAAAGAGCGGATCTAATTCATTTGTTTTTCAGGCAAATCAATGAAGTGTATGAATACACAACTACTAATAGCTACTCAAGTGATCCGTTTATGTTCAGTTACCAACATAATCAGTGGTTATATAGAAAGAGGTTTCTAGGATCTAATTCATTTGTTCTTCAGTCTAAGGCAACGGCCGGATCTAATTCACATGCAGAGTYGCTAGTCTCCTCCGCAGCCGTCATTAGTTTCGGTCCCAGATCCTCTCGGGCTCTCTCCACCGTGAGGATCTGGGATCAARACTAATGACGGCTGCGGAGGAGACTACATTAACGTYTGGTGAGTGGAAACGCAAATAGACATAGAATCTGAGGCCCTTCTAAGTACACAATRCAATCAACACAAAAGTTGAAGTCCGGATATTGTCCACGTATATTTACAGTGTACGTGATTCAATACAAACACAGAGTCACCACTCAGCTGCCGTACTAAAACACAAAGTCAGTAGTTGTTAGACTTGTATTTTCTTACCTTGATCGGTTATCCTGTGGAAATAAAAGCAATATAAATGTTTATATATTTTTAAAATAAAGTAACCTTCACTGAGGGTACTTTATTAGGCACCCCTTAAGCCATAAGTCGGCACAGTTTTGATGATCACGTTCAGTAATATACTTCATGTTCTAAAAAATAGTCTAAACAACACAATAAATAAAGCTACAGCAGACACCTATACGGGCGGGCAGACCCCCTTAGATCCCGGCTATCATACCCGGTGTTTAAAAAAAWTAATAGGTAACGACGTTTTAGGTTATATCAAAATATAGAAACGTACCTATTAAATTTGATGCGCCTKCTAACTTAACTGATCTAAAACGAGATTTTTATATCGGTAGTGACCAATAAGTTTTGAAATCCGAATGAGTTGTTTAAGTATCACTTTATATATTTTTACATAAAATATAGCAGATCCTGACCAGTGTCTAGGTGGTTAACATGGGGTCGGGTATTTTAATAACAAAACAAAAAAACAACCAATCAGTAAAGCCAAAAACATAAAAACAAACAGTTTTTTAAATTTACTGGCAAGTGCTAAAAGCGCTTAGTTTAGACTTTGAAAGAGCTGATTGGCTGAAAGACTAGTTTATGCTGATTATTCAATTTGAATGACTGATGATAGCCAAATATGTGTAGGTTTTTTAAATGCTTATTATATAACAATCTGGTACCGCTGCCTTTGACAGCAAATTGTTGTGCCAGAAAATTCGCAGCTTTATATTTCTGTTAGACTCCATCCCTAATATCATGGAGAGTTTATTTTGATAACCGTTATTATTACATATGAGACCCCCGATTAGTACTAGTGCTGGTTAGATCGATTAAAAGAGTTTTTCTAAGTATCCAGCCTGCCACTATTAAGTGACAATAAAGGTTTTTTAATTTGGATTAGCTGTAACAAAATAATGACTTCACTTTTTGACATGCTTTTTGAGTGATTGATGGATAGACTATTTTATTTATCCACTCAACTGATAACTCAATGAGTTGCCTGTATAAGGGCCCTTTACTAGTTATATCGATCATAAGTGTTTCCCGGTGTTCAGATACTGATTCACTTTCTTACAGTGTCATACTGTTGATTTCCCGTGCGGTCAAAATTTTAACGACTGTGAGAGACTGGCTGAAAGGCAGACTGATTTATTTGTTCAGTCAACTCGACTGATAATAATCGTATACATCTACATACGCCCTTTATTGCTAGGATATTGATCATAGGTGCTTTCAAGTGTTCTCCCATACTCCCTTGCTGTGATCACTAAGTGGCATTTCATTCCGGATAAAACTTAGAAATGAATTCAAGAWTTTTGTTTATGTTCCAAAGAGCTTCACAGACGTGTATGTCATGCTCGATCAAAGACTAAATGGAAGCCCATCTTGAGTTAGTTTGCTTTTCAAAGCCATGCTAAGTAAAGCTTCGAGCTGTATGTTATAATTCTTTACCACATAATTTAACGCTCGTCGCTTATTCGATAGGCGGCGTTAAAGACAGCGGATCTTTYATTACGAATCCAAAGAATTCTATTATAATTTAAGGCAAGAGTTTTAATGATATCTGAATGAGACAGGTTGGAACCAGCAATTAGGAGGGTAGATCATTTAGCATAAGACGGTTTTTAGTTCTATAGATATAGAACACTTGAATCATTAAGGGATTAGAAATAGCCTAGGCCGGAACGCTCGTTCAAATCCAATCGAAAGGAGCTTCAACAGAAGCTAATCACTGTAAAATAAAAACCGATGGATCCATTTATCGTATGACATCTGCCAAATCCCACGTCTACAGAGGAATTAGCGCGMCCGTGTCTCTTGACAAACATTTCAACTGTCAATAGATGTAGAACTCGTAATTTATCTAATCTCTGGGAACACCTAGAGGCTAGTAGAAGACATATAGGGAGGACAAACCTGGAAGGCGCTGAAGGCATTGTTTAATGCAGAGAGAAGTATTTATGATGACCGAGTAGAATTAGGGAAAATAGATTAGAACTGACTGATAGCTTTTGTATCCGTTAYTCATATCTGATGTGTCTAGCTTAGTAACGAATGGAGTTTAGTACCGTTAATTCATTCATGACAAATGAAYAGAAAGAAAGAACGATATTTGCTGTGCTATCCTGGCTTACCCTGGCCCGCAGCAAAATCTAGCGCTTGACTTTAACTTATAAAGGTATGTTCAGTAATCAATGCCATGCAAGGGCAAAAAGAGAACTGAAAATACGAACCTTGCTCGACTCGGTGACTCTTTTTAGAGCATCGTAATACACCAAGTCTTTGGCCTCTTCCCGGTTCTCTGCTAGCACTTCCATTGCTAGAGTAGCCATTCTAGGAGACTTGACTCTAGATACCTTGGCCTGGCGAGAAAAATACTCATCTTTTAGCGTACTCCACAATTGAGCCATACTATAGCACTGATGCCTTTCTCTTCAATTATGTTTTTTTTTCACTTCTAAGGGCTCGAATTTATARAGCACGCCAATATCAAGGGCCGGAAGAAAGGCATGCACCGGCAAATCCACCAGAGGCGGCCGAAACATCTCATTAGWCTGATCGGTAACTAACTTATCATGATGTGTTTGAAGGAGAAAGACTGGAGACTAGGCTAAATCAATCGTGAAAAGGCAGGATAAGGCACACTGTTTACTTACCTTTGTTGATTATAGGTTATTAAATATTAATAACAACAAAGTCGCAGGAATATTCAAATTGGTTCATTTTAARAAGGAAGACATATTTTTAATTAATGTTTTATTGATCTGTTACGTTCGTCTTCCTAAATGTAATGACTTTTAATTAAGAATATGTAAACCGACTTCCAAGCATTTTTAGCTTTCTAGTTATTTTTGGAAGTTGGTACCTCTCAATCTGTTTAACATAAAATAATGTATCAAATTAGAACCAAAAAAAAAACAAACAAATAAAGTTTCTTCTATCCTCTTCTATCCTGATGATGGTGATTAATTTTGTAGGAGTATGCGAACGGAATGTATTATTAAGCAGAATAAAGATGAATAATAAATAACTGGTGTAAATTGAAGACATTGATGACAACGCATGCATAAAACATGTCTTGGAAGCAGATTGCAAGGAACAGGAATGAAAAACCGCGTACAGCATCCGTGACGTGTTGCCGAGGTACATAATTTGCGCAAGAACCTTCGAATAATCCTTCAAATTTTATCGATCCCTGACAATACCTCTGAGCTGAGAAAAGCTAGGGCACGGCTAGCTCACGGATCGAATCAGGATTTAGAGTGTTTTGTGAAGGGGGTCGAGGAAAATCGGAGAAAACAAGAAAGCTTTTGAAAGAATTCTTCTTACCATAAGAGAGAGTTAGAAATGGTCCTGCGTTGACACCACCGTGTTCTTTCTGCAACATAAGTAGAACAATAAACTCAGAGATGGATTCTTATACACTTATAATTTTTCTACAGCCCTTTCATTATTACATAAAAAAGCAGTTTCAGTTTTACATGTTACTACCAAATCAAGGTCTACAGCTGTGAGCTTATTCCATAATTTGCATAGTTAACAACTGAACCTGTTTTAGTCTAGCGAGCATGCTGTAATGCTACAAACCATATTTTCTCTCAAGGCTTATAGCCGTTGGCATCTAAATATTTGGGAACSATTTAGCATACTGCGTAGCTCATCAGTAAAATGGGGTCACGTGACAGAGCATTCAGTATCAATGTCAAGTATCGCTTTTAGGGAGTGAGACTAAACGACTTTGATTGCGCAAAAGTCGAGGGTAGTGTTCATCTTGGTGCTTTACTGAATTTTTCACGAACCAAATGAATGTAGCTTGGTTTCCGTTTTTATTTTTAATAATCTTTGTTACTTTTGTTCTTTACTTTATAAAATGTCTCCTTTAAAATAGAAATTCGTATGTTCCAGTTTCCTAAAGTGCCGGAAAATGCCAGTTTGAATGAAAAGTCTCAAGGTATACTTAGAAAAGTATCAGAGTGCATTAGATATTATAAAATACCATTCAGGTCGAAAACTGACAACTAAAAAGCTAAAAATCTAAATYTAGCTTGCTTTCGTTGTCTCCTAAGACAATTAATGCGCGCGCGAGACAAGATAAAAGAGCCAATCACCAATCTGGGCCCGGTTGTACTAAGCCTGGATAGCGCTATCCGGTGGATAAATCGTTATCCAATGGATAAGTCGAYGCTGTTATCCAAAAAATTTATCCACTGCATAAGATTTATCCATTGGATAGCGCTATCCAGGCTCGTACAACCGGGCCCCTGAAGATAACCCGCAAAATGGAGTTGCAATTTAGAAGATTTTGGAGGGATGAAAAGCGGAGAAACACTCTCCAAACACAGGAAAGAACCAATAAGCAACTTTATACATGACAGCGAGCTCAGAAATCGCACCCCAGTCGCATTTAAAAAAATTTTGGCAGCGCAAAACACCCTTGCGTCCATTATACTAGAACGTTTATGATATTGAAATAGTTGATGGTACTAATCCCAAGCGGAATTGGATTATATTTCTAGCCGTGGCAACAATTTTTAAACTACTTTATTCAGCTCTTCAATACTCAGTTGGTCTGCAAGGTTATATATATATATATATATATGATATATTTTAATTTATGTAATTTATGCAATTATTTCGTTTCGCACTAGTTTGTGCTGCTTGCAGAGATGAATGGAATTTGAACGCACAAAAAAAACTCTCTCTCCGTTATCTATTAAATTTACTTTTGTTAAAAATACTAATACTAATACATGGTACTCTTGTATATCATTACAAAGGAATGTATGTGGATTGTATGTGCTTTCATTATTATTTACATAGTGGTACAACACAAGCTTGTTAAGCAGAATGTAACAAAAACCTTGACCATTTTTTTAGAAATGACTATATATTAGTAAAAAATATTATGTTTCGCATAGGTAGCTTTATACCGATTTTTGTGTCTGTTGTCTCTGTATGCTTATTGGAGCCAATCCAACGATCCGTTTTACCCCTTTTACTTATTGCTATAAGCGAACTACAAAATTTATTTGATATATTCTTAGGATACACAAATCCATATACATCCCTTTGTAAAACAGAGGTACAAGAGTACGTTACTGGGCTTCCTGTGGCGAATAGTGTTAAGAAACGAAATTAAAGCAAAGCAACGTGCAAACCTTTCATTTCACTGCATCCTTTAAAGGTCCTTCATGGAAGGCACTGCTGGCTACCCTCTCCTTCCCCGCCTCAGCGCGTTAAATAAAAAAAAAACAAAATAGTTTTAGACGTCTCGAATCACGATGGTAACATGCTGCTTAGCAACCAAAATCGCTACAACTGCATCAAAATGTATTTATGCTTTAGAAGACTGAAGTGAATATAATTAGTCATTTGTCATGGTTGGCACTGATGAATAAATCTAGCACAATGAATAAAGATAAAAATATACACAAATTTTTTTCAGTATCACTTTGTTCTCCTATAGAGAGATTAGGAAGATAAAAATTTAGATTGTAAGGAAATTATCAAGGTTGTTTTGACTGAGTAAAGTGGACTATCCTTCGAATTGAAACAAAATAACAAAACTATTAGATTCACCATAGGTGTGAATGTCGGTTGGTMGTTCTTCATCTAATGCAAACTGAATCAATACTAAAGACGGGAAGTTCTAACTTCATCTATTTCTTCATTCCAATGAATTTTAAAGTTCTAGATTATAGAATACTTTCTCGCGATAAGTACAGTCTATAACACACTAGATTGCYGCGTTTTCAGTACGCAGTCATATCCCTTTCTTCAAGATTATAAACAAACCGTAARTGAACCAATGCAACCTACCAAGCAGTATGCTACTTCGATACAGACCCAGTGAAGCTATCTACAGGGTACAATATATGAAGGGATTTCACGGCTGTCTTTAAGGTGACGGAAGGAAGAACTAAATCCAATGTGATTTGCAGCAGAAGAAATTTACTTCCCTCCAAAAATATATGTATTTTATATACGTATATRATATTATATGTACGTGTGTTTTATACAACATGAATGACATGAGCCCTTCCCTTAAGGAAGATTACCACCAAGACGASCAAGACGAGACGAATATGAGCGGACAATCTTTTAAAATATTAGAGATAAAATATTAATCCGTAAACTTACCGACTTAGTAGAGAAACGGTCCTTGCGGACATCGTGCATTTTCTCTGCTTTCGAAAAATATTTGTTTTAACTCTGTTCCGTTCTGTATACACCTATTAATCAACGGTAAAAAAAAAACACAAATTAGAGTACAAATTCCATGTCAGTCATTTCCTATCGTATTCCTCATGTTCGAATTCTAGTCCTTGATAAGTATCTACTAATGATCYGTGTAGATAACCCAGAAGACTGACCAGCTTCTAACTGCAGCTCTCAGACATGATGTTAAAACTTCCGTCTGTAATAAACAGTATCGTAAACTATAAAAACCAATCTATCAAGTTTCAGAACTCATTTGAATAAAAAATCTTTCATTTTTGGTTTTCCCTATGCGTTTAGATTTTTCACCCCGTAAAGCTCCTTTGTAGCTTGGATATCGTCGATAATAAAATTATCCAACTTCTACAGAGATTACTTGACAAATATCTAGCACATAGCCCTATCGACTATAGACACTACTAACCTAAGCAAACCCGAGGCACAACTCGTTCCATTCATATAAAATTTGGAAGCAACTATTGATAGCAACGCGACGATATTTATAAATGACCTTTTATTGCTCGGCTTTTGTTCTCGGCGTACCTCAAGCATCTGCTGAACGCGAACAAAAATAATGGGAAAAACAAAAAGAAAAAAAAAAACACTGTTTGTTTGAATTCACTTGCGTTGTGGGCGATTCATTATGTGGTTTTATCTTGTGGCAGTGATTTATCATCGTAAAACTAACCTCTACTAGTCTTTCCTTGTTTAAAAACCGGTTGATCACGGTTTTAATGTACGGGTAGTAAATGTACTTGTAATAGTATAATACAAAGACGAAAGAAACTAACAAAATTAACGTTCGAAAATAATACATTTATAAGTACCTTAGAACTAGGTAAATATCGGCCTTACAAACTTAAAAATTGGTTTTTCCTTGTACGTCGGTCCGGTTAAATAACGTGTCAAAATGATAGAATAAACATAAATACAATGTTAAGTGACCGGTATTTTGAGCCATGTACCTTGTACAGCATGTTGTCAGTGCAGTACTGTTTATTGGATACGTGGAAAGTAGAGGCCGTTATGATCATTTATTCACTGAAGATTATTTAGATTTCATTAGCAATTCCAATTTAACAGTGAAAAAA